CTGTTTCTTTATTATTAACATTCAATTCTCAAAGCCTTCGAGTATTTGCATTTTATTAACTAGGGAAACTAAGGCACAGAGAGGTTAAGTTACTTGCCCAAGGCCTACACAGCAAATAAGTGCTGGACTCACTTGAACCCAGAGCCCAATTCTTAGATATCACATTCCCTTGCCAATAATATAATGTACTCCCAGCTACTTGGGAGGCTGAGATGCGAGAACCGCTTGAACTCCGGAGGCTGAGGCTGCAGTGAGCCGAGATCGGGCCACTGCATTCCAGCCTGGGTGACAGAGTGAGACTCCCTCACAATAGAGGAATATAATAGAATAATTTTAGGCCCTGAGAAGTTTTGTGAACAAAATCAAGAGGGGTATGTAATGTTTTTGCGGAAGGGTGCCATTTAGAAGGGGGCAATCAGGGACGGCCTACCGGAGGAGGTGGCCCTAAAGACGATGAGATGTGTGGGAAGAGAGATCGAAGCAGGGGACACAACCAAGGAAAAGGCTCTGCGGCCAGCACTGCCAGAAAGCCACTGTCCTGAGATCTAGTTTCCAAGATTTTAGCCAAGGGCCCTGCACTGCAATCACCCTGATTCCAGGTGCCCTAGAGGTTACCAGCTCCGCGTGCGAAGTTCTGCCATTCCCACGGGGCCGCAGTCACGAGGCTGAACTTCCCGCGGGCGGTGGGCGTGGCCGGCTCACCTGCGGGGGGAGGGCTCCCATCCGCCCCGCCCCGCCCCGCGGAGGAGCCGCCCGTGGTCCCAGACGCCGGGCGCAGCGGGAGCGGCGGGGCGTGCCTGGCCTGCGGGACGCCGCCGAGCGCAGCGGGGCGAAGCGGGGCCGTAGCCGCCGCGGTCAGGTGGGCACCAGGAACGGGGCGCGGGACTCTTGGGGAGCTGCAATGATGGGGGGCGGGGGTGAAGGGTGAGAACGGGGGCCTGGAGCAACCCTGGGCCTGTTTGCCCTGCGCCGGGAAGGGCCTTGGGGCTCCCGAACACCCTTCTGCCCCGTCCTGGGACTCCCCGGGGTCTGGAGGTCTGGCAGGGGCCGCGCGCCCCCAACCCCAGCGCAGGTAAACAGGAGCGAGAATGGGGCTAGGCCTGGAAGAGGGAAGGAGGGGTCCCTTGTGACGGCCGGAGAGCCTGGTGCACGGGGCTGGGCCGGCCAGGGTAAGGTGGTGCGGTTTGCGAGGCTGGGCCACGATGGGGCTCCTGACTGCCTCTGTGTGTGAGGCTCTGTGTTTGTCAGGTTGTGGGTATGGAGGTGAAAGCGACTGTCCGCCGTGTAACCCTGTGATGGGACTGTGTGCATGACACTTTCAGCAATGTGAAAACGTGGGCGACCTCTTGACTGTGTGTCTGGAATGCTGTGTGTGTGTGTGTTGAGAATTGGATTGTTGGTAGCACTTTATGACCAAGAGCTAGAGCGGCTGTAGTCAACTTTCTGCTTGGGCTGATGTGCGTGTGTGTGTATGGCAGGGAGTGGAACTGGTTGTAGGATTAGCCGTGAATGTTGATCAAGAGGTTGTGTGGCTGTGGTTGTCTTTCTGCCTGTCAGGTGTGTGTGGTGGACAGTGTGGCACTGGGTCAGTGATAGGTTACTAGATTGACTTTTGGTTGTGTGTCACCGTAATGGTGTGTGGTGGGGCTGTGTCCGGAAGTGGGGCTGTTTCATGGGACGGTACAGGTGGAATCTAGGGGTTGGATGAGTGAGGTGTGGAAGCATGTGAAGCCTTGTGTGTGTGTGTGTGTGTGTGTGTGTGTGTGTGTGTGTGTAGGGAGGATCTGGAGGGTGTGTAACCTGCATTGATGCCGTGGCTGGCAGTGGTGTGCAATGGAGTTTGTTGTGGGGTGTGTAAGTTTGGGAGATGGGAGTGGAGACGTGGACATCTAAGTGGGATTCTCCTCTGAGTGGGTGACAGGAGGGAAAGGGGGGTCTTCGTCAGGGATGGGTGTGTGGGGCTGGGCCTGTGATTACCAGCTGTGCAGTTGTGCACCCTGGGCTCCCTGTAAATGTGGGACCTGCTGTGTGTCTGGGACGCAGCCTGAGTGCTGGGTGGCTGTGGTTGAGCGTGTTTGTTGCTGTGGTTGTTGGTCTGGCCGTGGAGTGGTGTGTGTGTAGCTGTGTCTGAGGTTATGGAGGGAGGTTGTTACATTGGCAAAATTGTGTGAATGGTCGTGGTTGTAAGGGTGACTCTTGAGACTGGTTGTGAGTTCAACCACTGATACGTGTGTGTGTGTGAGGTGTGAGAATAGGTATGGTGTGATCTGTAATCTCAACACTTTGGGAACCTGAGGTGGGAGGATTGCTTGAACACAGGAGTCCTAGACTAGCCTGTGCAATATGGTGAGACCCCATCTCTACAAAAAAACAAAAATTAGCTGGGCATAGTTTAGTTTTTTAAAAATTAAAAAAAGCTTGGCTGGGAGTGGTGGTTCACGCCTGGAATCATAGCACTCTGGGAGGTCAAGGCAGGTGGATCATTTGAGGTCAGGAGTTCGAGAGCAGCATGGACAACGTGGTGAAACACCATCTCTAAAAATACAAAAATTAGCCGGGCATGGTGGTAGGCGCCTGTGATCCCAGGTACTTGGGAGGCTGACGCAGGAGAATCATTTGAACCTGGGAGATAGGGTGTGGTGAGCCGAGATTGTACCCATTGCACTCCAGCCTGGGCAACAGAGTGAGACCTGATCTCAAAAACATAAAATCAAATTTTAAAAAAAGGCCAGGTGTGGTGGCTCACGCCTGTAATCCCAGCACTGTGCGAGGCCAAGGCAGGTGGATCACGAAGTGAGATCAAGACCATCCTGGCCAACACGTTGAAACCCCATCTCTACTAAAAATACAAAATATTAGCTGGGTGTGGTGGCATGCGCCTTTAGTCCCAGCTACTTGGGAGGCTGAGGCAGGAGAATCACTTGAACCCAGGAGGCGGAGGTTGCAGTGAGCCGAGATCCTTCCATTGCACTCCAGCCTCGGCGACAGAGTGAGACTGTCTCAAAAAAATTTTTTTTAAATGTTCACACACATCAACATCAACACATATATACATATATCTAGAGAGAGAGATCAGTGACAAGTCTGTGGTGCACAAAGTGTGCAGGCCCCTTACTGTATGTGATTGCGCGTGTGTGACGTAGAAACTGCTGCACTGCTTATGGTGGACGCAGTGCCTTGAGCGAAGTGTGCGTGAACGTGGCATCCCTCCGCGCACATCCACAGCTTTCTGTTCTGACAGCGGAACTGAATCGCAGTACACAGTGTGTAGGTGTGGGAGTCCCTGCTGGCCAGGCCTGGAGGGGGAGGAGGAGGAGGTGGGGAAGCTGGCGGGGGCTCCAAAATGATCCTGGGAGTATGTGAATCTAGAGGTGTGTGAGGCACTTTATGGGGCTGTGTGAGTTTGGGAGACAGTGTCAGGGTCAGGTGCACGGAGATGGTCTGAGTGAGTGATTTCACGAGTGGGAGAGACAGTTAGTTTCTGCGTGAGTTTTCCTCTGCTTAGACTAGCATCTTTTTCTTTTCTTTTTTTTTTTTTTTGAGAAGGCATCTCACTCTGTCATCAGGCTGGAGTGCAGTGGCACCCTCTCGGCTCACTGCAACCTCGGCCTCCCAGGTTCAAGTGATTCTCCTGCCTCAGCCTCCCAAGTAGCTGATATTACAGGCACCCACCACCACATTGAGCTTAATTTTTGTATTTTTAGTAGAGAGGGGGTTTCACCATGTTGGCCAGGCTGGTCGCAAACGCCTGACCTCAGGGGATTCACCCGCCTCAGCCTCCCAGTGCTGGGATTACAGGCGTGAGCCACCATGCCCAGCCTTGGCTTTTATTTCTGAAAATATACCTGTGAGTTGGGTGGAATTTCTAAAAGGGAAGTGTGTACAGATTGTTTTTGAAGGAACAGTATATGTGTGTGTGCCTGAGTGTGTTGTGTTAGGTTGTATTTCTAAAAGGAAAATGTAGGTGTGTGTAGAGTTGTATTTTTAAGAGGAGAATGTATATGTTGATTTTTTTTTTTTTTTTCTGTTTTAAACTGGGTCTTGTGCTGTCGCCCAGGCTGAGCGGTGCAGCTCCAACCTCCTGGGTTCAAGCGATCCTTCCACCTCAGCCTCCAGGTATGCCACCAACCACGCCTGGCTAAATTTTTGATTTTGTTTGTAGAGATGGGGTCTCGCTGTTTCCCAGGCTGGTCTCAAACTCCTGGTCTCAAGTGGTCCTCCTGCCTCAGCCAGAATTCCAGAGTGCTGGGAATACAGGTGTGAGCCACACACCTGGCCTCCACTGTATTTCTAATGAGGGAGTATGTGTGTGTAACTATTTTTGGAGGGTACATGTGTATACCATGTTTTTTGTTTTGAGACAGAGTCTTATTCTGTAACCCAAGCTGGATTGCAGTGGCACGATCTGGGCTCACTGCAACCTCCACCTCCCAGGTTCAAGAGATTCTCCTGCCTCAGCCTCCTGAGTAGCTGGGACAACAGGTGCCCACCCCCACACCCAGCTAATTTTGTTTTGTATTTTTAGTAGAGATGGGGTTTCACCAGGTTGGCCAGGCTGGTCTCAAATTCCTGGCCTCAAGTGATCTGCCTGCCTCAGCTTCCCAAAGTGCTGGGATAACAGGCATGAACCTCCATGCCGGTCCCTGTCTTGTATTTGAGAGAAGGGGACATTTGTGTGTGTGTCAAATTGTATTTCAGAGAGGAGAATGTGGGTGTTGCATTGTGCCTTTAAGAAGGGAGGGTGAGGTGTGTGAGGTGTGCTTCTGAGGAGTGTGTGTGTCTAGGAGGACCCCAGAGGCATCGCCAGCTAAGCTGTGACCCACATACAACCACATGAAGTCCCATGGAGGGGCCCTGCCCACTGTGAGCTGGGCTTCAGACCCTCAGCTGTCCCATGGCCAGTGTGACATCCCTGGACCACACCTATCACATGTGTGTCCCAACAGGCCCTGGGCTGGCTGAGCCTGTCTGTGATGGAAGAGGGTGGAGCCCCTGTGTTACCTGGGAGCCGACACATGACCCCCTCCTCTACCCCCCCAACCTAGAGGCCTCCTGGGCTTCCAGGGGCCCCAGCCCCTCAGCCTTCTCCTCCCACCACACCCCACCCCCAGTGGTCTGACTGGTTCCCAACAAAAACACCCTAAGAATGAGCTCACGCAGAGGCTGCCGCCTCCACATGTCCCGCCCCACTTGCCCGGCAGAGGAGGGTGCCTCTCCCAGGTCACACGGCCGACCTGGAGCTCTGGGCCCAGAGATCCAGGGGCCTTGGGGTGGGGAAGGCTGGGCAGGTGAGCTGAGGGAAGATGGGGGACCCCCAGGCCAGCTGTTTGCCCTCTCTTGGTTAATTATGCATAGGATTTGGGCAGAACCCTGGGTTGGGAGGACAGAGGAAGGTAGGTTAGAATGTTCTAGATGAGAGCTGGCTAGGTGGGGGGCTGGGGGACAGTCAGCTGAGGGCTGGGATGAGTGTGGAAACTGGGATGCAGAGGGTGTGGAGGCAGAGGGCTGGCCAGGATGGGTGGAGTGGGGAAGAGATGGGATGGGGAGAAGTTAGGGGTCCTGATGGCTATTATGGGAGTAGAGGCTGGGGCCAGCTTGCTTGGCCCTGGCAATGATTCCCTGACCCCCCACTGTTACCCTCCAGAAGCAGCAATGTCTGTGCAGGTGGCAGCACCCGGAAGCGCGGGGCTGGGCCCAGAGCGCCTGAGCCCTGAGGAGCTGGTGCGGCAGACGCGTCAAGTGGTACAGGGTCTGGAGGCGCTGCGGGCAGAGCACTGTGGCCTGGCAGGGCACCTGGCGGAGGCGCTGGCGGGACAAGGCCCAGTGGCTGGCTGGGAGATGCTGGAGGAAAAGCAGCAGGTGGTGAGCCACTCGCTGGAGGCCATCGAGCTGGGGCTGGGCGAGGCCCAGGTATGAGGGGGGCTAGGTGGGGGGCTGGGGGACAGTCAGCTGAGGGCGGGGGAGGGCCAGGTATGAAGCTCACTATTGCAGAGGGGCACACTGGGAGCCTGAAGCCGGCTAATCATGAGATCAGGAGTTCGAGACCAGCCTGGTATCATAGTGAAAACCCATCTCTACTAAAAATTCAAAAACTAAAGGATTACATGCCTGTAATCCCAGCACTTGGGTAGGCTGAGGTGGGCAGATCACGAGGTCAGGAGTTAGAGACCAGCCTGTCCAACCTAGTGAAACCCGGTCTTTACTAAATATTCAAAAATCAGCCCAGTGTTGTGGCAGGCGCTTGTAGTCCCAGCTACTCAGGAGGCCGAGGTAGGAAAATAGCTTGAAGCTGGGAGGCAGAGGTTGCAGTGAGCGGAGATTAAGCCATTGTACTCTAGCCTGAGCAGCAAGAGTGAAACTCCATCTCAAAGTAAAAACAAAAAAAATTAGCTGGGCATGGTGGTACGTGGCTGTAGTCCTAGCTACGCAGGAGACCGAGGCAGGAGGATCACTTGAATCTGGGAGATGGAGGTTGCAGTAAGCCGAGATTGTGCCACTGCACTCCAGCCTGGGTGACAGAGCGAGACTGTCTCAAAAAGTATGGCAGAGCCGGGTGCGGTGACTCACACCTGTAATCCCAGCACTTTGGGAGGCCAAGGTGGGTGGATCATGAGGTCAAGAGATCGAGACCAGCCTGGTCAACATGGTGAAACCCCGTCTCTACTAAAAATACAAAAATTAGCTAGGCATGGTGGCACATGCCTGTAGTCCCAGCTCCTCAGGAAGCTGAGGCAGGAGAATTGAACCTGGGAGGCGGAGGTTGCAGTGAGCCAAGATCATGCCACTGCTCTCCAGCCTGGGTGACAGAGTGAGACTCCACCTCAAAAAAAAAAAATGGCAGAGAGGCGCAATGCTGCAGGGCGAGGCCTGGGGAAATCAGGCCTGGGAAGGGGAGGCTCCAGGCCAGAGACCGAGTCCCTTGGCAGCTTTATGGGGTCCTTGTGACAGGGACCCCTGAACCAGATGGCATTCTTCAGCAAACTGAGTCCTGGGGTGAGTGTGGGGGTGAAATCAGAGGGGCCCCTGGGAAACTGAGGACACTGGAGCTGCATTGGTGGAGTCTCTGCAGAACTTGGGGTATTGTGCATAGCAGTGAGGGGCTGCAGCCTGATTTGAGGCCTGGGCTGGGTTGTGGGCTGCCTGGAAGGGTAGGAACCAGCATCGACTTAGGACCCCCACCCCGGGCAGGTACTGCTGGCCCTGTCAGCACACATGGGTACACTGGAGGCAGAGAAGCAGCGGCTGCGGGCACAGGCCCGGCGGCTAGCCCAGGAGAACGTGTGGCTTCGGGAGGAACTGGAGGAGACACAGCGGCGGCTTCGGGCCAGTGAGGAGGCTGTGGCCCAGCTGGAGGAGGAGAAGCACCACCTGGAGTTCCTGGGGCAACTGCGACAGTATGACCCATCTCCAGAAAGCCAGGTACCACAGGCGGGTCAAGGCGGCATGGGGGCTTCACCCTTCACAGAGCCCGACAGTCCCCCCAGACCCTCCTTAGAGTCCTACAGTTCCCCGACTCTCCTTATATTTCCCAGACCCTGCTTTGAGTCCTATAGTCCCCCAGAACCTCCTTAGAGCCCCCCAACCCTCCTTAGAGTCCCTCTGTAGAGTCCCACAGTCCCCCAGACCCTCGTTACAGTTCCCCTGACCCTCTGGAGAGTCCCAGTCCCCCCAACCCTCCTTAGAGCCCCAGTCCCCCAGAACCTCCTTAGAGTTCCTTAGAGTACCACAGTCCCCCTAGATCCACCATAGTCCCCCAGACCCTCCTGAGAGCCCCACAGTCCCCCCAGACCCACCATAGAGTCCCTCAGTCCCCTAGAGCCTCCTTAGTGTCCCACAGTCCCCAGACCCCCAACCCTCCGTAGAGCCCCCAGACAGACCCAGCAGCACTCCTGTAGACACCCCCACCAGCTGCTCCACGAAGTTCCCAGAACCTCGCCTGTCCCCCGGGGCCCCTCACACTCGTGATAACCACCTCCCTCAAACCCTGAGATCCAGGGCCCCATCTCTGAAACCCACACACCTCCTGACCCCCCACTTTCCATGTCCCTGCAGCAGCCTGAGTCCCCGCCTCGCCGAGACAGCCTGGCCTCCCTGTTCCCCAGCGAGGAGGAGAGGAAAGGTGGGTGTCAGGGGGTACATGCCCTGAGGGATGGCAAGGGCGGGGAGGGGGCTCTGAGCTGCCAGACCCTAGTCTCTGAGCAGGGGAGGGGGAGGTAAGGGCAGGTTCAGGAGGACCCTGAATGTGACAATGGGCAGGGTAGCCCCCCTGCACGGCAGGCCCTGTATTCACATTCCACAAGGCAGGTGGGTTGCTGTGTTCCAGCTGGTTAGATGCTAGTGACCCCAATCTTAGAAGTCAGTGTTGGGGGTAGGGCTATAGTTTCAGGGACCAGTTGGGCAGTCTGGCAGTTCTGGGCAGTGTCCCCTCATGCAAGGCTGGAGGAGCAAGAGGCTGCGGTTACTCAGAGCCCACCCCATCCCCCACTTAGGTCCTGAGGCTGCAGGAGCAGCAGCGGCTCAGCAGGGCGGCTACGAGATCCCCGCCCGACTTCGAACCCTGCATAACCTCGTGATCCAGTACGCGGGGCAGGGCCGCTATGAGGTAGCAGTGCCTCTGTGCCGCCAGGCCTTGGAGGACCTGGAGCGCAGCTCTGGCCACTGCCACCCTGACGTGGCCACCATGCTGAACATCCTGGCGCTGGTGTACCGGTGAGTGCTGTGGCTGGCCGTCACTGGGGGAAGGAACGGCAGGGACCGATTGGGTGCTTGTGTTACCCACTCTGCCAGCATGGAGCATCTGGGGAGGTCAGGGCAGGGGACAGCCAGAATAGGAGAGGAAGGAAAAGCTCTGCTATGAGAAGGGGAGAGAGGGAGTGGGACACATCTGGGGGGAGAGTGTCACTTAGCCAGGCAGAGAGGAGTCAGCGTAAACACCAGGGGCCCCAACAGTGCCAGCAAGAGACCTGGGGTGGCTAGAGGCTTGACAGAGGTCTGGGGGCACAAGCTGTGTTAGACACTTAGGAAGGATGGAGGGGCCCCCACAAGGTGCCACCCATGCTTGGTTCAGCCAGGTTCCTCCCAGCCCCTGTGGCTGCAGCTGCCCCAAACCCCTGGCTAACTCCTTCCATCTCTGGGCTGCCCACTGCCCCACAGGGACCAGAACAAGTACAAAGAAGCCACAGACCTACTCCACGATGCCCTGCAGATCCGGGAGCAGACGCTGGGCCCTGAGCACCCTGCGGTGAGTGAGGCCCCGGGGAGGTGGAGTGGGGCTGTCCCCGCCACTCCCTGACCAGTGCCTCCCCCACTCCCACAGGTGGCCGCCACGCTCAACAACTTGGCTGTCCTCTATGGGAAGCGCGGGCGTTACCGGGAGGCAGAGCCCCTGTGCCAGCGTGCTTTGGAGATCCGAGAGAAGGTCCCATCCCCTTGCCCGACCCCGAGGAACCCCGTCCTGTGTAGCCCTCCCCATGCACCCTGAGCACGTACATTGTGACCTTGGTCCTCAGGTGCCCCTTGTGTTTGGTACTGGGAGACCCCAGTTGGAGCCTTGGTCACCCAACCCATCACTCTTGACCTTCTGAGATCCCAGTTTGATCTTGACCCTGACTCCGACGTCTCAGTCTCTCCAACATCAACTGGGTCCCCCCACAGCCTTTCTAACCCCTCATGACATGACAATTGGCAAAAGCCCAACCCTGACCTACCCATCTGACCCTGTACCCCACGAGTTTCTGGATTGCCATGACCTCTGACCTTGGTAATCCCAATTGATGGTAACTTTTGTCCCCTGGTCCCCAACCTCTCAGGTCACTGTCTGCTTTGACATTACCCCTAACTCATGACCACCATATGGCAGTGATGTCATATGGCAGTGATGTCACATGTCCCACCACTCCTGTATGACCCCTCTGACTTGTGACCCCTGGCCCCCAGGTCCTAGGTGCTGACCACCCGGATGTGGCCAAGCAGCTCAACAACCTGGCCCTGCTGTGCCAGAACCAGGGCAAGTTTGAGGACGTGGAGCGGCACTACGCCCGGGCCCTGAGCATCTACGAGGCCCTGGGCGGACCCCACGACCCCAATGTGGCCAAGACCAAGAACAACCTGGTGAGGCCCGGTGCGGGGGTGGGGTGCCTGCCCTGGGGAGGCACCTACTGGCTGGGTACAGAGTGAGCACCATGGTGGGGAGGGACCCACCAGGCCCGGCCCGGCCCGGCCCTTGGAGCAAGTGTCCCATCAGACGTGAGCTGGCTCAGCACAGAGAACACAGAACATGGAATCAGGAAATGCTTAAGTCCATGGCAGCCTGAGGCCAGCCAGTGGAGGAGGAAGCTGGCAGGCTGAGATGGCAGCACTAGAGAGGTATTGAGCTCAGTGCGGCCAGCTCCCCTCTCAGCCTGGTCCCCACATCACTGGTTCTTAGTGTCCCTATGAGGTGGGAGCTATTGCCCCACTTAGCATGTGAGGAGACTGAGGCACAGAGGCCATGCCACCAGCCCAAAGTAGCACAGCCAGGCTCAGAAACGGGGTCACCTGTCCTCCATCCCCCAGGCAGGAAGTGGGGCTGGGCTCCAAACTACTCTGCTCCAGGGTGAGGCTTTAGGCAGGGGAGGGATATGGCCAGGTCTGCACAGTAGAAAGTGGGACTGGGGCCAGGCATGGTGGTTCACACCTGTAATCCCAACACTCAGCACTTCAAGACACTGAGGCAGAAGGATCACTTGAGGCTGGAAGTTCAAGACCAGCCTGGGCAACATAGCAAGACCTTGTCTGTACTACAAAACCCAAGTGGGTCTAGATGAAGTTCCCAGACTGGAGCCAAGATCTCCCTGACATTCCCTCTCCACAGGCCTCAGCCTACCTGAAACAGAACAAGTACCAACAAGCGGAAGAGCTATACAAAGAAATCCTCCACCAAGAGGACCTGCCTGCCCCACTCGGTGAGCCTCTAGCCCCTGCCTTCCCTCCTGCTGGGCTTCTCCCTGTCCCCACCTCAGTGTCCCCCCATCTTCCCCCCTAGGTGCCCCCAACACAGGCACAGCGGGTGACACAGAACAGGTGAGGATGGGCTGTGCTTCGGCTCCTGGGGTGGGCGTGGGGACTGCATGGGCTCGGACTGAGCAGCGTCCCGGCCCCTCCCCAGGCCCTCCGCCGCAGCAGCTCTCTCTCCAAGATCCGTGAGTCTATCCGGCGAGGAAGTGAGAAGCTGGTGTCCCGTCTCCGAGGCGAGGGGGCCGCCGGGGCAGCCGGGTAGGTGTTGCTCAGGTCAGCACCGAGCCCTGACAGCAGCAGGACCTGCAGCCCATCCCTCTCCCTGTCCTGCTCAAGAACCTTCCCTGGCTCCTATCCCCCCAGGGCCACACACAGATCAAACCCTGTGCTGGAAAGGTCCCTCCTGGATTCACTTGTTTCTTCCCTGCTGCCCGCTTTGCAGAATGAAGAGAGCCATGTCGCTCAACACACTCAACGTGGATGGTGCGAGGGCGCCTGGGTCTCAGGTGAGGCAAAGATGGAGTGGGGCCACATGGGTAGGCGCAGAGAAAAGGTCAAGGCAGGGCGGTTGGGCTGGTGTCGGAGTCAGCAGGGGCTGGGTAGTGTCAGAAGGGACCCAGGACAGGAGCAACAATGTGTTTTACTTGAGATACAGGTGAGGGGGGTGGACAAGTTGGCTGCCAGGCTGGACCTGGAGCTGCAGGGTAGACGTAGCACCTGCCCCTCACCTCCTCCCATCCCCTGTGCCTGCTTCCAGTTCCCCAGCTGGCACCTGGACAAGGTCCCTCGGACCCTCAGCGCCAGCACCCAGGACCTGAGCCCGCGCTAACGTCGAGTGAACAGCATTGGCTGCGGCTCTTCAGGAATAGTGCAGGAGGGAGGGGCTGTGGGGGTCTGTCAGTTCCTGGACTCCCCTGCCTCTGGGTACCTGGTGGATAGCTACCGTCTCCTTCGATTAAAGGCTGTGGATGTGACAGTAAGGAATGTCACCTGAGTTCATAAGACCTTCTAGGGCCAGGCAAGACTCAGCAGTCACCAGGAACAGCTGACGGCCTTGCCCTGCTCACAGCTGCTGAGCAATCTGCTCTATCCTCTGCAGTGTCTCCTGCGACTCCAGCTGCTCCAGGCTGAGCAGGGACAGGCCCAGCTGATCCTCCTACAGAAAACAGAGGAAGCAGAGGCTGTCAGGAAGGGGGTGGGGACCCAGGCAGCTGCAGCACTTCCCCACCCGCCCCTGATGGGGATTAGGGGTCTGATGCATGAGGGACAGGATGTTTAAATTCGGAAATGTCCAGATAATCTAGAGCAGGCCATCCCTGTCAACAGAAGGTGGGGCTGCAGGAGGGGCCAGCCTGGGAGCCGGGGAAGGATGGGCTTTCCCAAGACAGCACAGTCTCTCCTGAAAAGGCCCGATGCCTTCTCATCCCAAATTCTCTCACCTTGCCTTGCCTCGGTGGCATCTGTGGCCCCTCAAATCTCCCCCCACTCCCCAGAGCCTGACACATAGATGTACTTCTCTGGGTGGAGGACAGGTAGGTTGGGAGTGGGGAAAATCTATAATGGGCCTTTCTGGAGGAGGGTCCCAGCCTCACCCGGTGGAAGGGCTGTGCCATCTGCCGTAGGAAGTACTTGGCCACCTGGACACCTTCATCCACAGTCAGGTTGAGGTTGGCATCTGTGAGGTGCTCCTGGATCCAGCGGGGCAGCTTCCCCCGCTTGTCCGCACGGGCAAACCGCTAGGGGCAGAAGTGCAGGCCAGGGAGAGCGTCATGACCAGAGGCCGAGGGATCCTGGGCCATCTTCCACCCTGCGACCCACCCCATCTGGGAAAGGAACGGGAAAACAGCCTAGTTCTTGGAGGCTGGGGTGGGAGCACAGGGGCACCCCTGAACCTGCACCTTGTCGGCAAAGACCATGAGGCCATAGTCAGTCTTGCCCCTGATGGCTCGACCCACGCACTGGGCCGCGTGGCGCATGGCATCGAAGGTGAGAAAGTCATTCTCACGGATCTGGAACTGGTCCCGCAGGTATTCCAGCCGCGCCTGCAGATACAGAGGAGTGGGGGAGGTGGGGGAGACATCCCTCCCTTGGCCCTAACACTTTGGGAAGCCAGTGCTGCTCACCTTGAGAATGCGGCTCTGCGTGTAGACGTATGGGACACCAAACATGATGACGGCCCGCCCGTAGTGGTGCACTGGTGGGCAGAGGAGAGGAGGCAAGGGGGTTACAAGTGCAGCTGGTGGGACAGGGACAGCCTCACGCGCATGGTGCACTGGTGGGCAGAGAGGCGGCAAGGGGGTTACAAGTGCAGCTGGTGGGACAGGGACAGCCTCACGCGCATGGTGCACTGGTGGGCAGAGAGGCGGCAAGGGGGTTACAAGTGCAGCTGGTGGGAGAGGGACAGCGACAGCCTCGCGCGTGGAGCAGAGGAAGGGTGTGCTCCTACCGGGTGCCCAGGGACACGGGAGGGGAGGGGCCCTCTGCGTGCTCAGGCTGTGGGTGGGTGGTCCCCTATGGCAGTGGACAGCAGAATGGGCAGGTGTTCTGGGAAAGGAGAGCCCAGGCCACTCACCAAAGTCGATTCCCTCAGACACTTTGCCCCTGGCCACTGACAGCAGGATGGCCCCGCGGCCATTCTCGCAAGCCTGAGGTGGGGAGGCCAAGATACAAGTTGAGTCACTCCTTGGAGCCACCTCCCCCACCTCCTCCACGCTAGCCTCACACACCCACCTCCTGGTACTTCTCCAGGGCGACGCTGGTCTCGGCACCATCCTGGGTCTCAATAAAGAGCAGCTTGTTCCTCTGGATGTTCTCAAGAATCCCCTGGGGATGGACCCAGGAAGGTCAGAATGAGGGTGGGTTCAGGGCATGGCCGTCCTGGTCACATCCAACTCTCCCGGGGACTCCTGCATCACAGACCCTTTCTCTGGGCCTCAGCTGGGGAGGAAGGGTGGAATTGTCCAGCCTCACTTCTTTGAGGAAACTTAGTGATCCGGGTGGGGAACCAGTAACTGCTGGGTAAGTAGAACAGGCATGTGGCTCAAGGGGGTGGCCAATCGGGGAACCCCATCCCCTGCCAGCGATTGGTGGAGGGGCTGACTGTGAGAAAGGTAGAGCCAATCAGAAGCTGCCCTGAGCTTTTCCATATGACACTATAATACAGTGTGGAGCCAATGCAAGGACAGACAGACCAGTGGGACAGAATGAAGAGTCCAGAAACACATGGCCACCTGTGCAGTTCAGTAGGGAGAGCTTTAACCGGAGCAAGTGGATTTCCAAATGGAACCAAAAAATGAATCTTGACCCCTAACCCACACCATACACAAAGATGAATTTGAGGTGCCTCATTGACCTAGACTTGAAAGCTAAAACCATAACCTCCTAGGAGGAAACACAGGAGCCTCTCTTCATGACCTTGGGCAAAGATAAGTAGGACACAAGGCACCTGGGCTGTGGGGACTGGGTCACTTCTCCTGCCTTGTGGAAGCTGCCCATTGGAGGACAAGGCCTGGCTGTAAGGATGAGGTTCCTGCCCCTCATACATGCTATTCCCTGATACTTGGATTAGCCAAGTTCACTCATTTCACCCCAACGTGCTTTCACCTACTCCTGAAAGCCTGGACATGGTGTGCTCAGAGACACAAAGTGCAGGGTGGCCTCCCCTCCCACCCATGTCCTGCTGGTCACCCAGGGCCTGGCTGTGATGAGCCCTGTTGCCAGAATGCCCCACAAGCTCCTCCACCTGCTTCCCTGAAGACCCTTGAGAGACTATGCCCTGATTCTCAGTCCAGCCTTAATTCTCTAGAACCTACCTCTAACCCAGCTACCTCAGCCTCCCCACCAGGCTGTCTGTGCTGGAGGATCACAGGGATGGGGTGACCCCAAAGAGCAGCAGGGGAGCAAGGAACCTAGAAGGTGGGGGTACTGCTCTGAAGGAAAGGCCCACATTGGGGCTCATGTCTCCATTCTCAGCATGATGTGCTGGGGGCAGGTCATGGGGTGCAAGCTGCACTCTCTCTCCTGGCATACAGGATACCTGTCCCCATCATAGCATGAGAGGAATGAAGTTGACACCAGTGCAGTGCCAGGGGCTAAGGAGAACAGGTGACTCCTCTTTCTGGGGAGGGGGTGGCCAGGTGTACCTGCTCATACCAGGAGGCCACGGTGCTCTCCATGTACTGGTAGCTGGTGAAGAAGGCCACAATGCCATCAGGGACCACAGCGGACATCTCCAGCAGGAGGTTCCCATAGTTCCGGATCACAGCTGCAAGGGGTCAGAGGTTGGGCCCTCTACCGGCCCAGGTCCACCTCCCTTCTCTGTCTTGGAACCGGGAGTTTCTGGAGCTCCCCCCGCCCAGGTTGGCTATCATGCTGTTCACACACATCCCACTCCTCCTCATGAGTCTGTTTGAGGACCCTCCTTGCCACCTCCTGAAGTCATGCCTGGCTGTGATTTGAGTGCAGAAGGGGCCAGGCACGGTGACTCATGCCTGTAATCCCAGCACTTTGGGAGGCTGAGGTGGGCAAATCATTTGAGGTCAGAAGTTTGAGACCAGCCTGGCCAACATGGAGAACCCCATCTCTACTAAAAATACAAAAATGACCCAGGTGTGGTGGCGGATGCCTGTAATCCCAGCTACTTAGGAGGCTGAGGCATGAGAATTGCTTGACCCTGTGAGATGGAGGTTGCAGTGAGCCGAGATCATGCCACTGTACTGCAGCCTGGGCAACAGAGCAAGACTGTCTCAAAAAAAAGCCTGGACACGGTAGCTCACACCTGTAATTCCAGCACTTTGGAAAGCCAAGGTAGGTGGATCATCTGAGGTCAGGAGTTCGACACAAGCCTGGCCAACACGGCAAAACCCATCTCTACTAAAAAATACATACAAAAATTAGCAGGGCATGGTGGTGCATGCCTGTAATCCCAACTACTAGGGGGACTGAGGCAAGAGGATTGCTTGAACCTGGGAGGCGGAAGTTGTAGTGAGCTGAAGTTGAGCCACTGCACTCCAGCCTGGGAGACAGAGACTCTGCCTCAAAAAAAGGAAAAAAAAAATAAACCAGGTGTGGTGGCGCCTGCTTGTAATCCCAGCTACTCAGCAGGCTGAGGCAGGAGAATTGCTTGAACCCAGGACAGAGGTTGCAGTGAGCTGAAATTGTGCCCTTGCACTCCAGCCTGGGCAACAGACTGAGACTCGTCTTTTAAAAAAAAAGGCCATGTATTACTTCCAGGGGAGCACCAGTACACAATTCACTGTGATCACTGTCATCCAGTCTGTCACATCCCTCTGCCTCTGACACACCCAACAGTGGCGGTTTCCAGGTAAGGAGACACAGGGCAGGCCCCCTACCAGCTCACAGTGGACGTGTACCACGGGCAAGAAACAAGCTCTGGGCTAAGTAGCAGAGGCCGGGGATATTCGTTACAGCAGCATGACTCAGCCCATCTGAGTGATACACCTCCCCTCTTGGAACCCACAGAAAGCAGCCCCACTGGCAGCATACCAATATCCTCCCGGGTCTCAAACTTGGAGCTGATGGCCACCTGGTCATTGCCTCGGCCGATGATCTGAAGAGAGCAAGAGGTCACAATAAGTGAAGCAGCAGCGGGCCGGGTGCTGTGACTCACGCCAGTAATCCTAGCACTTTGGGAGGCCGAGGTGGGTGGATCACCTGAGGTCAGGAGTTCAAGATCAGCCTGGCCATCATGGTGAAACCCCATCTCATTAAAAAAAAAAAAAAAGTGAAGCAGCAGCAACTGCTCCAGTGTGTGAGTGAGGACCACTTGCTGGTGCTGTTCTAAGCTTTTCTTTTTTTTTTTTTTTTTTTTTTATGGAGAGTGTCTCACTCTATCACCAGGCTGGAGTGCAATGGCTTGATCTTGGCTCACTGCAACCTCTGCCTCCTGGGTTCAAACCATTCTCCTGCCTCAGCCTCCTGAGTAGCTGAGACTACAGGTGCGTGCCACCACACCGAGTTA